GGCAGGATCAATGATTGCCACTTTATTCTTTGTGAGTCCCAATAGACCCTTCTCATTTGGTTCTCTGTGTAATGTCCAGATCCTACAATATGATAATAATGCCTTTAAATATCAATGAGCTCAATTCTCTGATCAAAAGAAAGAGCCTTCCTGAATGAATCAAGAAATATCAGTCACTTTTCTAAAAGCAACATATGTTGACTTTAATGATAGACATTACCTTTGAGCAAAATGCTGGATAAAAAAAGAACAGGAAGAAGACAGAAGTTCCTATGTGCTAATTCCAAAATGAGGCCGGGTGTAGTCTAGCAGGGATTGGTGCCAAGCCAGTGAGAATTCTTCCACATTTGTTAATATCTGACTTGTTACATTCACAGTCTATATTATTTTCACTTAAACCTCTAAGGATCAGTGAAAAGGATACAGCTGGTACTGAGGGTGTGAAGGAGGAGAGGGACCTGTGCAAAGCAAGGGTTCTGTTGTCTGCACACTCTGTAGTACTGCAGACAAGGGTTCACAGATGTACCTTTATACACAAATAAAATATACTACTTTTTAATACACTTTAGTCTAGAGTAGAAGAAAAACATCAACCAACATACTTAACTTAGTGTTGATTATGATAAACATAATTTCATTGTTGTATCCAGCAAATTATTACATGACTTTTAACATCACAAAAAGTGTCATGTGTAAAAGATATTACTTTTCCTTACCTAAAAATGTTGCACTCCCAACAGTATATTTGAGACCTTTCTCTGTTTATCAGTAAATAGCTAGTAGGCAAGTCTAAGTTATTGAGAATCCAAATCACTAAGCATCATCAAAAAGCAAAACTAAACTCTATATTTTACTTTATATTATATTCTGCTTAGTTTATAGCTAGATTGTATAATGTATGGTACACATTAACAAATCATTAATTATAAAAATTAGAAATGAATCTGCTTCTTCTAAGAGGAAAAACAAACAATAGTAAATGTTTGGGGAAATGACTGTGACCAAAGGTCATAGAGAGCTACTACATAGAAAGCTGTGAGTCAATTAGATAACCATGGAGACAGAAATGAAAAAGAAAAAAAACCTATGGTAAAGTTAAGTGTAGGAACAAATCACTCACAAAATGTTAAAGAGGGAAGAGAAACAAATAAGACCATCCTGCTGAAGAGACACCAGCTGGCAAGAACAACAAAGTCCAAATTGTACTTCAGATTATACAGTATGAGAATGTCCTGCATACAAGGGAACTACCTGCACTACGTCCCTCTCTAACATGGTCTAACATCCACATGAGATAATGAACAAGGTATCTGATTATCTTTACCAGATTCCCCCTATACAATAAGTAAAATGCTACTGTGAGAATACAAACATCATTAAATGAGCCTGTTTTCTACAGAAAGAGACATGGTAAAAACAGAATTTGGTGACTGGTGGGGGCTTGGTAAGAGTACTGGATTCCATGTCTCCCCTATGTCATTGTTTCAGTACAATTTACCAGCTCCTACTTACTAGAATAGAAAAAACAGCAGACAGAGCAATGGTCAGTCAAAATTCAGGGAATGCTGAAATATATTTTCGGATTATAATATGAAATTTAGGCACAAAGAGGCCTCAGAAGAAATAGAAACATGGAGAACTATGGACAAAGTAGCCTGAGGAAAAAAAAGCATATAGATGGAAGAAGATAAATATTAGAACATAATGAAGCACAGCCTGCTGCTACAGAGAGAGGACCAAGAGGTGAGTGGCTAGCCAGCTGGCAGGACATCCCCTCTCTAGGCCCTCCATACTGTGTCAAAACCCTGGGTCCCTCCCACACCTGCCTCTGCATCATTAGCCAGTCAACAGGAGAGTTTCCCCACCCCGACCATCAGACCCTGTAAGCTACAAATCCCACCCTTCCCCCAAACTGCCATATCTCCCCCCACCCTGCAACCTCAGTGGAAAGGTGAAACACAGCCTGCTACTATAGAGAAGCAAACAGGTGAGTGACCAGCCATCCAGAAGGACACCAAACTATCTAGGCCCTCCAAACCATGGCAAATCCCCAGAGCCCTCTTCCACCTGCCTCAGCTTTTCTTGCCAGCCAGCAGGACAGTTTCCTGCAGATAGGCTGCACCAAAACCCCTGCCACACAGACAGTGACAGTATACAACAGACAAAGAACAGTTTCCAAGACACAGACAGCCACTGCAAGAATTAGACCACTATACAAAGACAATAATGGCATCAATTGAAGGAAGAGATGGGTAGGTGCCAATGAAAGAATTCATCCAACAGCCTAAAAATCAACATGGTAATACCAGAACCCAGTAGCCATACATCGGGAAGACTAAGATCAACCTACCCCAGAAGAAGAAAAATAAAATGATTTTAAACACATCTAAACACAATAAAAGCAATAGACAGCAAACAGATAGTCAACATCAAATTAATGGAGAAAAACTCAAAGCGATTCCACTAAAATCAGAAACAAGACAAGGCTGTCCACTCTCTTCGTAACTATTCAACACTGTTCTTGAAGTTCTGGCTAGAGCAGTAAGTCAACAAAAGGAGAACAAGTGGATTCAAAATGGAAAGAAAGAAGTCAAACTTTTGTTATTTGCAGAAGATATGATAGTATCAAAACTCTAATAGGGAACTTCGACAACTGATAAATACCTTCAGTAATGTGGCATGATACAAGATCAACTCAAAAAAAATCAGTGGCCCTCCTATTTACAAATGATAAAGAAGCTGAGAAAGAAATCAGAGAAGCATCACCCTTTATAATAGCCACAAATAATATAAAATATCTTGGTGTATCCCTAAACAAAGAAGTGAAAGACCTATTTGAGTAAGTCTTTGAAAAAAGAAATTGAAGAAGATACCAGAAAATGGAAAGATCTCCCATGCTCTTGGATAGTTACGATCATCATAATAAAAATGGCAATCCTACCAAAAGCCATCTGTAGATTCAATGCAATCCCCATCAAAATCCCAACACAGTTCAACTGCTCTCCAGTTCAGTTTCCCTGCTACAGTAACCTATCAGATGACAGCTCAGATACAGAGATGACTTCTAGCTCTAATAATATTCAAGGTTTTACATTTTGCATATTACCTACTAGAAAATACAGAATATGTTGTGGGATCCTGTATAAGGGCTGAATTGGAAGTCCTCAATGATACACATCTCTTCAAATCTTGCTGCAGCAGTAGAAAGCAGAGCCTAAGAAGCCTTTCCCATCTCCACTCAGGAATGGTGACTGACCATCATGTAGAAGGGGACAAAGAACAATTTAAACTTTGAAAAGACTACAAAATAACAAACTGACCTTTCTATTTTTAACTTGGATACCTATCATCCTGCCAAAAGACAGCTTCTAATACAGTTTTAAATTGGATACACATTCGCCCACCCATCAAACTCTAAGCCAGTGCTTAGTTTACTGCAAGAAAAAGTGTACAGAATATTTAGGATGCCAAGTATTTCATAGGAAAGCTGAACGGTGCTGTAAAGAGTCTTTTTAGTTGTTTAACACCACCCAATAAATGAAATTAGGAGGATTTCTGGGGACAGAGTTGAGACTGTTATATGATAAACCACATGTAGTCTGGTCTTTCTGTGGAGAGGCAGTGGCTGCAGCATTTTAAAATGTCTGGGTACACTATTTCTTCTCATGACAATTTGTCATAATTCAGTAGCATGAGCTGCCCCTAGAGATAGTTAAATATTTCGAAATGCTACAGCATTACCGAAGTTCTGATGACTCAGACCTGTACTCTTTATCGTAATTCGCACTGAAAAATAGCACTGAAACTAGTCTACAAACTGATTAAATTTAAAGAAGAGGAAGCATTTACGATAACTATACCTCTTTTTTCTTTTTTACTGTTTTTATTGAGCTATACAGTTTTCTCCATTTTCCTCCCTTTTCTTGTACTTTTTATACTGTTGGATATTTATAATCAAACTTTTACTCTAGGGTATTGAGGAAATTTGATCTTATTAGAAAAAAATAAAAAAGGAACCTTGGAATTTGATGCAAAAGTAGTATGCTAAATTCTTAGCCTGAGAAAAATCTGAAAATATTATTTAATAGTAAAAGTAGACAAGATTTCTCATCTGCCTTGTAGCATTAAGTTAGTTTGTAAAATTCACATTTATGTTTACATGTATGCTTGTGTGTGAATGTTTTCTCTACATGTATATGCTCTACATGCATGCTTGGTGCTGAGGTCAGAAGGTATTAGGACACCTGAAATTTTAGTTTCAAAAGAATGTGAGCCCCCTAATGGGTGCTGGGAACCAAACCCAAGTGCCCTTAACTACCGAACAATCTCTCCAAACCCTAAACTCATACTTCTTAAATTTAGCAGATGGAATGATGTTCTGAGTATCCTATATGAGACAGCCTTATGGAATTTGATCAACTGTTTTGTGACAGGATCCAATGGGTAAGAACATTTTGGAGCTTTGAAAGAATCCTTCTGACACAGTTCCCGATATTCCTACTGTAAGTAGATGACAGTGCTGGAGCAGGCCCTTACTCTGCAGCTCCCCAATGTAACAGCCATGGTTTAGGAGTGAGAGGTTGGAAGACATCTCCAGAATACAAACTTGTAGCTGAGCAGTTCCCTTCTGCTGTGGGTATACTGTGCTCATGTATTTCAAAGGCCATGTTCACTGGTTTGCTATCCCAGCATCACAATGGGCAATTGTGACTGGAGAATGGGACAGAACTAATGTGGTGCAGAACGGGGAGTTCCTTTCTTTCCAGAGCCCTTCTTCATTACATTCTCTTAAATCTGACTGTAACATAAAGTCTAGGTAGTAAAGACAGGAGTAGATAAGGCCATCCACATCCAAGGTACTACCCTCCTGTGTCGACCTGCCTGAATGCGAACTCACTGAGTAACCAAGGCTCCTGGAACATGCAGAAATCCATCTCTGCCCATGAGTTCTAGAGTCACAGGAGAGCAACCCCACACCTGACTCAAGAAGGGTAGTAAAATTGAGGAGTTGAAACTTGCTTTTTATTCATAAAAACAGTCATTATACTCAATAGGGTCTTTAGAAAGGGTAGTCAGTATATACAGTGTAGAGCTTTAACCAACTATTAAAACAACAAGAATAAATTATTTAAAAACTAACAACAAAATTTAAACAAAAGCAAAGAAAAAATATCCAAGCAAATAAAAACCAAACCCAAACCAGAACTCCCACTCCAATTAAGCTAAAAACATTCTCTAATTCTAGATCCAAAAAATCAATCGAGAGCATCTGGCTCTCTAAGGACACCAAAAATGACCTGTCCTCCTCTATAAACCCATCCTCAGGACTGAAATGCCAGTCCAGGCTGTGAAACTGGAGAGTCCCCAGACATTTTCTTTATGGACGATCAATGACTAACACGGGTGAGGGATGCTGTAGTCTCTGTAGTGCATTATCTTCAGCAACACTTTCCTGTGACATGGAGTCCACCTCAGCACTGCACAGGAGAGGGAATCCTGTTCTTTTCCCTGGGGTGTGTATAGTCTACAGCACAACATCAGTACAGTCTTTCTTGTGACATTCCTCACCACATATGGAGGTCTCAGCCGGCTTACTAAAGACTTGGAGAGTAAACTGGCAGAGTAAGCCTTGCTCAGCAGCATATCCTCCCCTTGCTGCTGTGCACCACTCAGGGTCCACCTGCTGACCAATGTCAGGATTCTGAGTAATTCTTAGTGGGTCCTCTGAATCTCAGGCTTCTTTCTGATGACTTCCTTTCTGCAGGAATAGTGCACCAACAGAACTTGAATCAGATTGGGGATGGATCCCCTGCACTCGGTGGAGATTTTCCTCACTGGTTAGTTCACATCTACGAGGAGGGGTCTGTTTTTCAGTAGGTGTTGCAGCTAGAGTGGAGAATGTGTGAAGCTTCCTTCAGCCTTCTCAGTTCTCCAAAGCGGAGCTGTCAGAGAAGGAAAGACAATCAGACCCATAGGAAGCCTCACTGGACCACATCCTAGACAAAACCAGGGCTTGACCACACATGGGAAACAAATGTCAAGGAAGAAAACCCACCCCATGAATGCCAAAGTTGCAGGGGATAGGAGTCAATGGTGGCTCCTTGGCCTGGCAAACTCAGGGCTCCTGCTGCAGCACGTCTGTCTGCAGGAGGCTCTCATCCTGGACTGTGGCCAGTTCCAGATCATGCTGGAGGTTTTCAAACCTAGGGGAGGAAGGCAGCTGGGACACAGGTCTGTTGGGGACCTGCCCTGCCAGCTTTTGAGCTCCCACCAGCTCTACTCAGCTGGACAATGCAGCATTACATCTGAGCTGGGCTCATTCACTCCTTGCTTCCTCAAGGATAAGAGAGCACCTGGGCTTTATTTTTTTCTCCACTTTTAAAGCGGCTAAAAATTGAGCTGAGAAATACACATCATGATGAATTAGAAAAACAGCTCATTTCTCCAAAAGTTCAGATACATTCTTTTGAAAAAACATCAGCATAGCAATGTCTGGGTCACAGTTCAGTAGACATTCATGGCCTTGAATAGATGCCAGGAAACTGTGAGCAACCTGGGAAATTAACTGTATGAGGCCCTCTAGGGGAGCTAGGGGAGAAAACACAACACTGCATTGAAAGCTTGTTTTATTCCTTCAGCACAGAAACTTCCATGAATTCAACATGCCAAATTCTAAATGTGATTTTAATTCCAGAGAAACCTCCTTACAGGAAACAGATACAAACTACAGAGAGCCTATAATCAATAAGAAGGTGCTGTACGCAAATCTGACAAAGGGTAGATAGAATTTTACCTCTTAAGGTGAGACTCCTGAAGGAAAATAAAGTGGCAGGAGAAGTCACCATCTTCCACAATTAACACTGTCCCTGTTAAGTCTGGAACTACCATAGGAAGGATCAATGCGCTCAGAACACATGAGAGCACTCAGAAGTAAAGAAGTGCACACAATGAGAAAGATTAAGGGTAACACATATTGTTTCCTGTGCAGACATTTCTGTTGACTGAGGAGCCCAATATTCTCAGATGTTCTTTCCCTGGCTGTGACCGAAAAGCCATGCAAATGGCCAGAAACCCAAATAGGACAGAGATTCAGTAACACTTGGTATAACTATTTGGTATAACTCCCTCTTCGTGGCCTGGGATCATACCTCATCTGGGAGACAGCGAACGTATTCTGCAGCTTTTCTGCCAAGTCTATATGTTTGGTGACCAGATCCCTCAGCTTCAGCAGGGATTGTTGTCTTTCCTCCAGTGTTTCCTGTTTCTTTTCATTAGAAGATTACGTTCTTAGTGAAGGGTTGAACACTCAAATGCACACACACATACACACACACACACACACACACACACACACACACACACACATTCCTGAACGCACACTTCTGGACAGACATGTACAAGAGCATACACATTCAGCAAAATAAAAAGAATTAATAATTTGATACTTCTCTGTGTCAATGGTCTCATTTCCTTAATAAAAATACACAGAATGACAGAAAGGATGCAGAAACAGGATCCATTTTTTTCTGCTGCATACAAGAAACAATCTTCAACATCAAGTATAGACATTACCTCTGGGTAAAGGATTGGAAAAAAATCTTTCAAGCAATTGTACCTAAAATACAAGCTGGTGTAGCCATTTTAATATCTAACAAAATGGACCTCAAACCAAAATTAATCAAAAGAGATGGGGAAGGACACACCACAAAGATGACATTTCAATTCATTTTTTTTATTATTTGTTTTTGAGACAGGGTTTTTCCATAGCTTTGAAGCCTGTCCTGGAAGAAGCTCTTGTAGACCAGGCTGGCCTTGAGCACACAGAGATCTGCTTCCCTCTGTTTCCCAAGAGCTGGGATTAAAGGCCTGCACCTCCACCACCAGGCCATCATTTCAATTCTTAACATCTATGCCCTAAGTAATTTTTTAAGAGAAACATTACTATAGGTTAAAGCACATATTGACCCCCACACGCTGATATTTGGGAACTTAAATACCCCAGTCTCACCAATGTGCATGCCATCAGTGTGCAGGTCATGCAGACAAAATTAGTAAATTCTGGATTAACTGAAGTTTAAACCAAATAACCAAAACAGATATTTAAAGAACACTCTACCTAAACACAAAAGGGTGTACCTTCTAAACAGCATCCGAAAGAATTTTCTCCAAAACTGACCACATACTTAAACATAAAGCAAGTCTCAATAGACACAAGAAAATTGAAATAATTCCCTGCATCCTATCAGACCATCAGGGACTACAACTGTATATCAACAACGAAAGAAAGGAAAGCATATATAAGTTCATGGAAACTGATGATCTCTATATTGAATGAAAAGTGGACCAATTAATTAATTAATTAAACACTTTCTAGAATTCAATGAAAATGAATACATAACATACGCAAACTTATGGAACACAATGAAAGTAGTGTTAAGAGCACTAAGTGCCTACATTAAAAAATGGGAGGATATCATACTTGCAACTTAATAGTAACACCTCAAATCTATTGAACAAAAGGAAATATGTCCAAGAGGAGTAGACCAGAAGAAATAATCAAACTGACAGCTAAATCAATAAAATAGAAATGAATATAACTGTACAAATATCAAAGAAAGAAAGAAATGGTTCTTTGAGAAAATCAACAAGATAGATAAACCCTTATCCAAACTAAATAAATATGGGCAAAGAATTAATAAATAAATTAATTTTTTAAAATTAATAATTAAATTAATTTAATTAAATAATCAAATTAATAAAATCAGAAACCATATGGGGACATTACAAAGGTTACTGAGGAAATCCAGAGAATCACAAGGACATACTTTAAATCATGTACTTCATCATACTGGAATATCTATTAGAAATAAATAATTTTCTCAATAGGAACCACTTACCAAAGTTAAATTAAAATCAGATACATAAATAGACCTACATCCCCCCGTAAAATAGAAGCCATTGTAAAAAGCCTTCCCCACCCCCCAAAAAACCCATGGACAAATGGCTATAGCACAGAATTCTACCATACTTTAAAAGAATAGTTAATGGCAATACTCCTCAAATTAGTTTGCAAAATAAAAACAGAAGAAACAGTGCCCAAATCATTTTATGAGTCCACAGCTACCTTGATACCCAAACCACAAAAAGACACAATGAAGATACAGACCAATTTCCCTCATGGACACAGATGAAAAGGTACTCAATAAAATACTTGCTAATCAAATCCAAGAATATTTCAAAAAGATTATCTATTATGATCAAGCAGCTTTAGCCTAGAGATGTAGGGATAGTTCAGCATATGAAAATTAGTCAATGTAATCTACCATACAAACTGAAGGAAAAACATATGGTGATCATTTTACTAGATACCCAAAAATCTTTGACCCTTTCATGATGAAAGACCTCAACACAAAAACAGTCATATTGAACCCGATTGGAGAGAATATAGGGAATAGCCGGACCATACCAGCAAAGGACGTGATTTCTGAAGAGAACACTGGCAGTGCAGGCACTAAGATCAACAATTAACAAAGGACCTCGTGGAACTGAAAGGCTTCTGTAAGGCAAGGAACACCATGAGTAGGAGAAAATAAAGGCCTACAGAATGGGAAATGATTTTCATCAACCCGCATCTGACAAAGGGCTAATATCCAAAATATATAAAGCATTCAATAGATTATAGACATCAACAAACCAAATCATCCAATTAAGAAATATGGTACAGATATAAACAGAAAATTCCCTAAAGAAGAATCACAAATAGCTGAGAAACACTTAAAGAAATGTTCTACATTCCTAGCCATCAGGGGAATTTGAACCAAAAACTCCTTTGAAGTTCCACCTTATACCTCTCAGAATGGCTAAGATCAAAGGCACGAATGATATAGCTCTTGGTGGTGTGGATTTGTAGAGAAGGAAACACTCCTCCATTTCTAGTGGGAGTTCAGAGTTGTCCAGCCTCTATGGCATCAATATGGCAGTTCCTCAGAAAATTGGGAACTGATTTAGTTCAAAATCTAGGTACGCCATTCATGAACATATATCTAAAGGATGCTCTCTCCTACCACAAGAACACTTGCTCAAATATCTTCACTGTGGCTTTATCCATAATAACCGGAAACTAGAAGCAACTTTGATGTCCCTCACTGGAAGAATGGATAAAGAACAGGCAGTACATTTACAGAAGGGAATATTACTTGGTTGTTTGAAAAGAGATATCCAATTGCTATTATAAGCAAATGGGTGGAGCTAGAAAAAAATGATGCTGACAGAGATAACTGAGATCCTGAAAAACACATATTATATGTATTCACTTATAAGTGGGCATTCGTTTTTAAGTAAATGATAATCAAGCCACTCTCCACAACCCAGAAAAGTTAGGTAAAGAGAAGGTCACTAGAGGAAACACAAGAATCTCCCTGGGAAGAGAAAATAGATTAGATTTTGCCAGTGAACTTGTATGGGGGAGGGATGAAGGGAGAGTGCAGAGAGACAGTTGGAGTTGGGGGCTCCCAGAGGCTGCTGCAGAAAGCTAGTATAGATAAAACTTCCTGTAATCTATGTGGGGGATCCTAGTGAGGACTCCTAGTAATGGAGCATATGGAGTCTGAGCTGACCATCTTCTGTAGCCAAGCAAGGTTTCCAGTGCTGACACTGGATTGCATTCAGTTGGATATTTGGCTTAAGGGGATTCTGTGGAGATCCCTGGAGAGCTCTGGCTCATGCTAGGACAGAGTGTTGATCTCTGAAAACTGACAGTAGGGTCCCATTGTTGTGGACAACATCTACATATCATTGAACCTGGAGAGGGCAAGCTGTTGCCTGCATGGAGCCTTCACCCATATACTCTAGTCTCTTTGGCATGGGAAGGTACTCTGCAGGTTACAGAGAGAGAAACATGATATCAACTCAGCCACAAAAACCTCGACTTACAGTCTGTCCTCCCCGCAAGTTATGCTGGGCTCTGTTGGTGCAGAACTTGAGAAAGTGGCCATACAATGTCTGGCTTAACTTGAGGCTCATGCAAAGTGAGGCAGTCCATGCCCTATAATCCCTGGATGGCTAAAATCTGGAGACCAAATAGCCTAGAGACATATCATAGAAGCAAGAATGACTAAAAAAATCAATGAAATGATTACTAATATTCCTATAGATATTCTGCTATACTCATAGATTGATGTCTTGCTGGTCCTCATCAGAGAGCTTTTCTCTAGCAGAAGTTGGATGTACAGAAACACAGACAGACATTGTGAGGAAGTGAGTGTCTAAATTGGAACTTTCTATCAGTTCTACCCATTGGAGCTCAGAAAACCTTTCAGAAGAAATGGGTGGGGGGAATTTTAGGAGTCAGCGGGAATGATGGGGTGGAGGACACTAGGAGAACATGGACCACAGAATCAAGTAAACAGGGCTCACATAGGCTCACAGAGTGATGTAGCAAGCATGGGGCCTGCATGGGTCTGTACCACGTTCTCTGCATATATGCTGTTGTTTCACTGGAACTCTTAATAGTGGGAGTGGATGTGTCTCTGACTCTTTTGCCTACACTTGGGTTGTCTTTTCTCCTATTGGAAAGCTTTGTCCAGCCTCTGCATGAGGGATTTTTTCTTGTTTTGTCATGCTTGCCTGTTCTTTTCTGAAAAGAAATCAAAGTGTAGCAGATCTGGGAAAAGGGAGGTTTATGGGAGGTGAGAGAAGTCGGGGTAGAGAAAACTGTGGTTGATATCTATTGTATGTGAGAATAATTTATTTTCAATAAAAAAGAAATGAAATGTTCACTCAATAAAAAATGTGAATTGTTGAAGAGATACAACACTTTAAAATAGAGTTATTAACTATGTGGTCTCTACCCAAGAGAGAGCTTAAAATTTTCTTCCTCTAAAATATTAACAAGGAGCAGGAATACATATGATTCGATGGCATATAATATTTTTCACTTATAGCTGGGATTCATAGGCCATGGCTAGTGAGAAGGAGGTAAAATTGCCTTTTCTGTGAAGAGCGAAATTTATGGACAGATCAATAGGAGGTGTTGGATTCTGCCTCCTTCAGGAAAATCCTCTGTTATTGGAGGTCTCAAACACAATGAGAGCTGGAGGGTTGCACTGAGCAGAAACCAGCTATAGTGTAAGAGATGGTTTAAAGGTAATAACTTCCTCAGTTCCTTCAGGACAGACATCTTATCTGTTTGCTTCAGGTATAGCTTACTTCCTGGTATTTATGGGACTCCCAACATAGACTCTTGAATGGTTAAGTGAATGAAAGCTACCTTTATGTTATTTGTCTTAAAGCTGCCTGTCTACTATTGATAAAGCATCTTAAATTATATTTTCATTGATGCTTTTGAGATGACTATAATTTAGCACTTATGTCTTAAAAACACAAACGTCTAGTCGACTGACGTTTGACATTTAGTTTAACCTTCAATTTTAATTTAAGTATTTAGACTAGGTTTGAGCTTGTGATGCAAACCCTTAATCCTAGCTACTCAGAGACTGCGACAGAAGTACTGAACGTTAAGGTCTGAACTGAATTACACTAGGAGTTCAAAGCTCATCTGTGGAATGTTGTGTGACCATATGTCAAGACTTTAAAAGGATCTGGTGATGTATCTCATTGTTAGAATGTGTAACAAACATGAGTAAAGCCCAAGATTTAATGTTATTTTAATAATTAGATCAAATGACCATGTGAGACCTGCTATTTTCAGAAGGGAAATTAAGGAGGAGTGGACCTGGGGTCCGGGGAGCAGGGGGTGAAGGACTGGGAGAAGGGAAGAAGGTTGAACTGATGTTGAGATGAAACATGAGAGAAGATAAAAAATGTAGAAGAGAGCTACTCCTTTGACAATTACACAAGAATCTTCTCCTCAAAGCTGTTTCCAGTCATTGATCTCACAAGATGGTAAATCCCCAGAAAGTCTTGGAATGATCACAGAAATCAACAGTTAGATGGGACGTTAGCGAGCCACTGGAAAAGTGAGTGGATGATCAGACGTGTGAGTGTGTGTGTGTGTGTGTGTGTGTGTGTGTGTGTGTGTGTGTGTGTGAAAGACGGTGGACAGCCTGCCCACAGTGCTCCAGCCTACCTCCTTCTCCTCGGCACATAGCTCATAAATCTCCTCGTCAACCTCTTGACAGAGATTCTTCACCTTCTCACAGGACTCTTGCAGTGAAATCTGCTCCCTCCGTAGCTTTCGGTTCTCCTCTCTCAACATAGTCACTTTTTCCTTCAACTGAGTTCGCTCACTCAGGAGCTGGTTGTGGAGAATGCTGAACCATCACAAAAACATCATGAGCCCTACCTAGCCTCCATCTCCCATATCACCTATGCAAGGTCCCATGTCCCCAGACAGTCCCAGACCAGAGCCCACAGTCACCATGCCAGCATAACCTAGTGGCTGTCAAATATCAGAGAAGAGCCAAATTACAGAAAGACTCAGATTACTTCTGAAAACTATTACAATAAAAGGAATGCTTGTACTTCTGAGAGCAGGGTTTGCCTCCTACCACATGTACTTAACTGTTCACGGTATTGGGAATGCATCAGCAGGTTGGGAGGTAGAAGACAAACATTCTGTGAGGGAGGACAGCAGACCCAATTGAAATATATTCTATCTATGGGTAGAATGGGGTCACCTCTGTAAACCCCTACCAGAGCCCAAGAGACCCACAGATGTCTGACATCCTCATCATGGTACAAATAGATTTTCTATCTAGAGGCTCCTGAGGCTGTCAGGACAATGTTGTGATGGGATCACAGATACTTCACTCTTAGCAAAACTCGTCCAAAAGGCCCAAGTCAAGAGCATAAGAAAAACTGCTTTTTATAGGGAGACAGGCCAAAAGGAAAATTCTCACTTTGGTTCAAAGACAAAAACATGGCAAAAGCAGTCACTCTCAAGGAATAGAGTCCCAGTGAAGGCAGTCACTCACCTGTAGGAGACAGTTTCCTCAGTCAGCTCCTTGCACTTGTACACGGCTTCTCTATTCTCTGTGGGGAATTTCTGTAGGTTCAACATCACTTTCTTATGCTCAATATTCACCAACTCCAGTTCAAAATTTAGCCTGCATTAGGACAGAGCCAAGGAGCAAAGAGCCCCATGAATTCTGGATCCTATGAATTCAGGATATGCCCTAAACACCCCAGCACAGTCAATGTCACATTCTGATATCTATCAACTAGGACAGCCTGGTGCTTGTTAAACTTGCTGACCTGGCCCCAGACCAGCAGTTATGGGTGCAAAGAGAGTGATCCAGAGCTGCATGAGTTCCATTAATGGGCCTGGAAGTATAGAATAGTTAAGTACTCAGGTGCTTGTGTCACAAGTCTGATTCCACCAGAAATCTATGATAATGTTGTTTCTGACTTCAGAACGAGGATTTTTGATTCCAGGTTCCTATTGCTATATGGGTGTCTGAAGCACAAAATCAGTATTTCCAGGGAGGAGATCCAACTTAAGGATAGAGTTATAAGTCTCCAGTAGATTCCAATGGATTCCCAAAGTGAGCACACGGGCCAGGAGTGCTGCTGCTCGAAGTGGAGTTACCTGACCTTAGTACTGGCATCACCTGGAAACTGTGATGACATAGAAAAAACCGTATGCCCTGCCACAGACACCCAAATGCCAGGATACACACACACACACACACACACACACACACACACACACACACACACACGGAGGATGCCAAATAAATGTAGGGAAGTGGAATTGTCTCAGAATATAAGAAAGAAGACCAGAGAGGAGCAGTGATGAAGTTCAGACTTCAAGTCACACACTGAGATGGACCAAGTTGACCAGGCCCCTGTAGCTGCTACAGGAGCAGCCAGTACTGAAGCACCTGCTGGTTAAGCACAAAGACTCACCATAAACTCACAGCACCTAGTGTCTTCCACAAGACAACACCTGTCAAGGCCTCATGAAATGTATGCTGAGAGCTCACAAACTATTGGCTCATCCCCAGACTGATTCAGGCCACAGGCTCTGCTTTTCATCTGGAGGAATCTCAACAGCCTGTGTCCTGATATCACGCCTACCAGGTTTCAGCTATGCCTCTCAGATGCCCTCAGAACAATTAGTTTGGGGAGAACACCCAGGAGGTGCAGCCTCCAGTGACCTGAGGAATGCTGGGGTTGACTAAGTAGGGTCAAGACAGTTACCAAGGAACTGGACAAAATGACTACCTGTTGTTCAAGTCCTTGGTGGTATAATTAGCCAGGATTCCATGAAGTTCATTCCTTTCTTGGGTCATCATCTGAAGCTGTAGGGTCAGTGTATCAACCTTGTTCATCTGATGCTCCTGTCTAGTAACAGAGTTTGGGATTGATGTCTTTCCAGTACTTCCTGCAGGTAGATAAACATGAGTAAATTTATGCAGTAGTATGACACAGGTCCAGGAGAGATCATGTTGAGTTCAAAGAAGAGGCCGAGGAAGAGTGAATGCATGGAACTCAGTGAAGACCCCAAGGATCAGGACAACTGTTCTCAAACTGGGAGCCCATAAGCCATGCCTCTGTCTTCGATCACTGTGGCTAGATATGTGCATCAGCACCATGCAGCCCCACTGGCTCTGGAAGGCATATGTCACCCAGCCATGCTGCTTTGGAAATATCAACTCATTTCTGATGTGCTGCAGAAAATTCCTGGAGTCTCTAGGACTTAGCATGATGAATCCCTTTCACCTTTGGACAGGAATAGAAGTAACTGAATGTCTGAGACCCTGGTGCATAGATGGGGAGTTTCACATGAGATACTCACAGAACCTAAAGAATCCACTGATGATGAGTTGTAGCAATACCCTACTCTCACACTTCATTAGTCTGTGCCTCCTGCTGGCCCTCTTTCCCACTCAAAATAAAATTAAGGAACTCCCAGAACAGCAGTTGTATTCTTGACAACTCCTGGATCTCTACCAAACTAACTAGCAGCAATCCTTGACTATGGGCCTGCACTTTAGTAACCCAGAGAAGCAGCCTAGAACAATCTCATCCAAAGATCCCAGCTACTAAACCCCATTTCTGTAAGGTCCAACTCAACCCCCAACTTCCTCCTTCGAAAGTCAGATCTCTCTGCCAGCCAGTGTGCTCAATCTTGCTATTGTGTCTTCTGGTGAACCCTATATGCACATAATGAGCGCCCCAAGGACACAACACTGTTGATTACAAAAAAGATGCCAATGACTTCTTAGGATACAGCAGAATGTCCAGACTGTTAGGGTCACTGCCAACTGCCATCACTTATCTCATAACTGTCTCTTCCCCAGTTCACCAAAAGCCAAGCTGGCTTTTCCAGGTGCCTTTCCTGAGGCACAGGGGAAGCTTTTCAGCAGCTCTCTGATACTTAGACTAAAATTAATTCTAATTTAATACTTCATCATGTATGGAGGTCAAAAGTCATTTTCTAAACATTCCCAAGGAACAGCTCTTCCCCTCCTTAGGATCTCTAATCAATAAGATGGGAAGTGAAGGACACTAAGAAATTAGCTCATGTTGATGTTGAATGAAGTTTGGTTTCATGAAGTGAATGACTGTCTCAGGAAAGATCCACAGAGCTGTTACAATGTGTGGGAGTGATGAGGATTGTGGGTGTCCCGTCAGACCAAAGATAAGTCACATGGGTAATGATGAAAATTTCTCCCCAAAACTTCAGCAGAATACATTCCATGCATCATGACTTTAGCAAAGGTGAGATAACCTAGTGACAGGACAGGCTGGAGACACCTCAGGACAAGGAACCCACAGGTGAACCCTCACACACCAAGAACAAACACTTGCAGGGAGAGCAATGGCTCATTCCTGCACTCAAGTTAAAGATGACTGGCTATTGAGAGTCAAGAACTCAGAAACCTTAGGGGTCACTGACATGCAGCAATACTCAATGGTTCCTACCCTGCAAGTGGATGTGAGGTAAAATTTGAGGACCTCCAGCTGTGACCAGAGGACTTTAATCTCCCTGTTATTAGTGGCCCACAAGCAAAAGAAATCCAGTGTGGGTGAAGTACAGTGCTGAAACTGAAACCTCATTCATATTCTCTCTCCTTCCTTCCCATTCAGAGTCAAAGCAGAGGACCCCTAGCACAGCAGCTGCTGGGATGACCATTATTGGCTCTCTGCCAATCTAACCATCAGATATCCTAAACTCCAGGTCTACTCCTCAGGAATGAAGAGAAGCAGGATAGATCCATTACCTTCCCAAAGCTCTAAGATTCAGTGTCCCACCATGAAAAACCAAGCTGAAGCCTTCCACCGTCAAGAAACTCTCCACTCCCTACCCAGGACTCACTGTGTTTTCCCCAGAACCATTTATGTCTTGACGTGCGACACTGAGGTTGAAGGGCATCGTCCTTCTGCTTCCCTCTAGTCTCGTTATGCTCTCCCTTCTGTCTCCCAAGCAGCCTGCTCAGTCTTGCCAACATGGCTACATCCAAAACCTGTAGGCAATGAACAGATGCCCCAATGGCAGTTGGTGTTGCCACAGCACTGCTGACATCACAGAGAATGCTGGGGCTCTCCAGGATACAATAGAATGTCCAGGGAGGGGTCTGCTGCTGTCCACGGCACAGCCCTTACCTCTCTGGCTAATATCCTCACTCCAAAATGACCTGAAACCAAGCTGCCATATCAGGAGTCACTCTGGGGTCAGAAAGAAAGCTCTTATACAGGTAGTGAAAAATATTGCCCCTGGAGAATCAGCAGAGCTCATTCAGGCTATAAGGTTGTGAGTGAAGATGTGATTCATTCTTGACATGTCTGGCTGGAGCCACATGATGCCAGATGAGCCCTCAGATATTTAGAAAAAAACAGTCCTAGAAAGAATATGATAGTCAATTGAATCAGTACACTGAGGCAAGAGCAGTGACAAGTCAGAGGTCTGTCGGGGCTGTGTAGAGGCACCTTCAGTTGGAAACACACATGCACATACACACACATACAGATAGGAGAGACACACAATCATGGGATAGAACATGATGTAGATCACTGCTATTGTGCTTCTATCAGCAAACAAAGGCCAAATTCCTTGGCCTAGAGCCAGCTGTTATGATATATGTGCTTGTTGATGGCTTTGGGTACAATGCCCATTAGGAGATAATGAGAAGGACAGGCAATTGGAGAGGATTGGGGTTATTGAATCAAAGAGTTTTGTTATAGCCTAACCTCAATTTTCTATTTCTGACAGTTCTTGTAAAGGGGATCCAGCCAATTGTCAGCCTGGAATGTATTTTTTCCAGATCTCTGGACTTTCTCAACAGAAGTATGTTCCTTAGAACCTAGGGCTGATGAGGTCTGCCAGGTGATCTGTGCCATTTCAGATAGTGAAGCCCTAATAAAGTAAATGTGATTAGCAACTTTTTTTCCAAATAGGGTCTTGTAGAGACCAACAAGTTGAGAACCAAACATTTGGCAAAACTGGTATGAAAAATTTTATGAACATACAGAGTGGTACTGTGGTAAAACAGCAGTAGTGAGAAGTGAGATACAGAAAGAGAGAATGTGATTTGCAAATCAATCCAAGATGTGACAAAATCTAGAAAGCAAGGGATAAAGGTACCAGCAAATTCTAGCAACTAAGAAAGAGGCCTGGTCCTAGTGGCATTCTTGGTACTTCAGACAGCTTGGCTTTTTCAATAATTAATTGTGAGATATCACACTTCTCCAACTCAGGAGATATACTTATCCTCCCCAGCCAAATACGCACAAAACCATTCTGTATGTGCCTGCCTCTAATCTCACCAATCTTGCATACAAAGAGACTTCATTGTCTTCCAAATGCCCTGAGATTCAGTTGACAGGGGACAGCACCTGCCATCCACAATGCTTCCTCTCGGTCCACCCTTGGAATCTGGAAGGTGCTCATGAAATGAACCTAGAGGTAAGATTTTGCCCACCTGATTCTTAAAATGCAGTCTTGAGATACTCAATCTCTGGATGACAACCCTAACTCATCACTCTACAGGAAAGGGATTCTCGCTGGTCAGCTAGTTTTTCTTCTTCCCTTTACATCCTTCAGGAACCTAGGGGACAGCCTCCTCAAGTCTATTCACAGCTGCACAGGATACAGCTTGGCTTCATAACCCTCAAGTCTGACCTCAGAAGTCAAGAGAAAATTGACAGACTTCACAAATACTCACATGTCTGGAGATGCCGAGATTATCTGTTGTTCACTCCAGCACCTTGCAGGGCCAGAACGTGGTTCCCAGAATAAGCATGTTATCTTCTCTGATATCATCCCTGGACACACAAATCGGGCTGGAAGGAGCCAGGTTCTTTTTCTTTCCACTATTGCATAAGCCCTTAATATTGTGAGGTAAGTACATGTATTATCTCTGCTTGGACATTTGCCTATCAAAGAAAACTCACGCACCCAAAACATAATAACTTCTGCTATCTCTAGTTCTAACAGAGTCTTGTTCTAATTCTGTACGCCTTAGTAAATGAAACTTGTGTCTTCTATTGCTTAAAGTTTTCTTTCTTTCCATAGTAGACACCATTGAGAGTTTGGAGAAATCATTAGAGAATTGGCTAATACAGCATTCATCATCCATTCCCTTTACTTTAAAATTATTCGGTGATGTGCCCTAAAAACAACGGGCCTTTATGTTACCTGCACCTCTATTTTCTAAAAAGCTTTCAGAGATCTCACATACAGACATCATAACAGAATTACTTGCCTACTCCTCTATCAGTCAAAAAGGGTCCTTAAGGGATCCATGCATATTTACCATTAAGTCTGCAAATTCTTCATGCTTGATGCGTGCAGCCCTCACCTTGGGCTGAACTTAAGACATACTTCCAGGAATAGAATTATCACAGAGAAGAATCTAAAACAAAAATATGCATACAAAACTAAACACAATATTTCAAATAAAAATGTCAGCCTTGTATAAATGATGTTACATATACATGAACATCTTTCCACATTGGTAGGAACCAGAAATACTTGGAGTGCATGTGTAAAAGTTTAAATGTTCCTTTATCAGGTGGTTAATGAATGCTGCTCCCATTAGAAATAAAAACCTCTGCTGGCTGTACATAGCAACAACTACCGACCTTGGCATATTCCACAAGGCATAATTCAAAGGGTAAATGATGCATCACTGGGACACATTACTCAGATATTTTAGTAAAATTTTCACTGTATGATGCTCTTGAAGAGTACCCAGGTTTCAGTCCACTCACCCAAAAGGTGTCTCACAGCCCTCTGTGACTCCAGTTACAGAAGGCATTACGCCCTCTGTTGACCTCTTTGGGCAGTGCAAACATATGCAGCAGAGACATACATTCAGGCAAAACACCCACACATGTAAAATGAAAGTGAAGAGAGTTTTTAAATGCCCTGGATTTTATATTCTTCCTGACCCATTCATGAACTATTCTAATGAGTCGGTTCATGTGTCATGCATTTTCTGGTAACATTCCTGCTCTTGATAATGTTTAAGACAGGCTCTCCATATATATTCCTGGCTGTCCTGGAACTCATCATGTAGAGTGTGCTGGACTAAAAATATCCAAATGACTCTGCATCCCTCATTTTGGGTTTAAAAGTGTGCATCACCAACCCTGTTCCACCTTTTTGGGTAACTTCATTTTATTGTTTTTGTTTTGTCAGTGAGACAGAATCTCACTCGATAGCCAAACTATCCTAAATTTCACTATGTTGACCAGGTTGACTTTGAGCTCTCAGAGATCTACATATCTATACCTATTGAGTTCTAGTATTTAAGGCATGAACCATTATACATGGCATGACTTTCTATGTGTTTTTAATAGATGGAGGATGCTGTTTGAGGCTGCTTGTTCATTCCCGGCTTCCCAGACCATAAAATAATCACTCAAAAACCATATTATTTGTAATACTGTTTGGCCAATAGCTTAAGCATATTTCTGGCTTATTCTTATATCTTAAATTAACCCATCTCCATTAATCTGTATATGGCCATGTGACAGTGGCTCACCAGTATGGTCCTGTCTGGTGTCTGTCTCCAGTTTGACTACATGGCTTCTTCCTGACTCAGCTTTCTCTCCCCCAGCATTCAGTTTAGTAATTTTTATCAAGAGGCAAAATCTGTAGTTTTCTAAATTGAAATGGAAAGATGTGAACAAAGCCAGAAAATAGACTTATCATAAATCAGGAGATTTATGGAAGATAAAAATCAAGATCATATGTGAAACTGAAGTATCCATTAAAATTCCATAGGACAAAATTAGGTACATTTGTATATAACTAGAATGCAATTCTCTTTTAAGAATACAGGTGATAGAAGATGACACTTAGGTTCAACTTTTTATATAGAGAAAAGGAAAATCCATGCTAGAACTTGGTTTTGAACCTTAAAATGGCCTACAAAGAGACTGCCTTTGTCAAGGAGTAATCTGTTTCTCAACTGCTTGAAGTACAAAAGACTTTCAAAATATCAATGAAACATCCTGTCAAAGCTTGACACATGAGATTGTAGGCTATGAGAACAGATGGGATCAATCTGACTGCTATAGAAGTGGGAATGAAGATCACACACTTACTTAAACCTCCTTGACAAAAAGGGTACATAATCTAATGAAATGTTCATGAAATCATTTCTGATGGACTGGCTCAAAAGAAGCACTGGGATGCTTGGTTATTATAAACAGAGGTCTTACAAATATCATGGACTGGAAGGTGATGAATGAAGGTGGTTTTTCTGAAAAAATATGTGTTAGAGAAGCAGTATTGATAGATATGCTGAAAAATATGTATTAGAGAAGCCGTGTTTTATGGCTGAGTCACTGACCATGATGGAGCTGTGCTTAAAGAGGAGGTGAACAATAAAGTTTGCTTCACCAGGGACGTCAGGACTGGTGTGCAGCTTTAGTGCCTTTGCAGAGCTCCATGGTAGATGGTGATCTTGTGGATCCAACTAACATTTTAAGGAAAGGGTGAAATATTATGTAACAATTTCCCCTTTTTGACATAAATATTTTCTGTTATTTTTGAGATTATAATTACATTATCTCCTCTTCTCTATAATCCTTGCAAATCCTCCCTACACTCTCCCTTGCTGTTTCTAATGTATGGCCTCTCTTTTCATTCATTGTTGTTGCATGCATATACATGTATACATGTGGTTTTACAGTCCTAAATGTAAACCAATCATTCTTTCTAGATAGTGTGTAAGCTTTCTGGACTCATTTGATATGGGATTTACAACTTGTGTGCTCTTCCCTGGGTGAGAGCATTCTCTTAAGTCTCAGAAAGTTCTAAGGAAAGAATTAGGGAGTTCATAAGCATTTAAATTATGGTTGGGAAAGCTGGAACTTAAAAGATTAATAAGGCCCTTCTACTCCCAAACTTACATAGGTTTTAAGTAAGAACTGAAGAAATGAGAACCTCCGTCTCAGTCAGTTGTAAACAAGTCATGCAGACATGTTCATGGTACTAGTTCTCGTGCATTAACCTCAATGAACTCATAAATTTGAGGAAAT